AAAAAAAAAAAAGAAAAAAAAATTGTTAAGTGATACATATAAAAATTTTTTTATTTTTCATTACAAATTGATTATAAAAAAAAAAAATGTTGCATTTGTAACTTTTTTGAATTTATAGAAGTGAAATTTTTTTATTAAAATTTTTTTCACAATGATTTATTATAAAAATGGAAAAAATTGTCTAATATTTGTAAATTTCAGCATCATAAATCTATGAATAATAATTTAGCAAATATTTGATCATTTTTAAAATATTCTTATGAAAAATAAATTACTGCAGAAAAAAAAATGACATTTAGAAATTTTGATAAATAAAAAATGCAATTTTTCAAAACAAATTTGTTTTGTTAAATGGAATTATAAAATGGTCCTGACATCTATTTTTAATATAATTAAAATAAAACTAAAAATTATGAAATGAGAATTAAAGAAAAAAAATTTTTTTTTCAATAATAATTGATTTATTATAAAATTTTCAAATTTTAATTTTTAAAAATCAAATTATCAAAATTATTTCATAAAGATTATATAAAATGTTACTAAATATAGAAGACATCTAAAAATTTTTATAATTAAATTGGAATGAAAAAAATTTATCAAAAAAATTTTTACATTTAAAAAATTTTTTAAAATAAATTAAGTGTAGCCTAGCAAAAAACCCTGAATGTCAAGTCAAGTTCAACTGGGTAGCGAAGCTCAATCTTATATTTAAAGATACTAAGATGCCCGACATGTTCAGCAACCTGGACCCTACGTTCTGGGAAAAACACCAATCCTGCTTTCTCTCTGCCATCACTGATCGTGCCAAATGCCAGGACTTTGAGTGCTACCTCCGCTCTTCATCACTACAAAGCCAGTTGATTTGGACCAAAGATGCAGACACCCCTCGATACCTGAAAATTAGATGTCCAATCCACTTAACGCGCATGATTGCTCAACTACGCCTAGCCAACATCTACAATAGCCGCATCACCTGCCAAAGCAACTTGCAAACTTTGTAATTCCAACTACGAGACTGTCGACCACATCCTTGCTTATTGCCCAGATTTGGATGACCTAAGGCAACGTCACTTCAGGAATATCATTGAAACATACCCAATATATCTACACACTTATATGATACTAAACATCTATGAAAAGAAAGAAATGGAAAATGTAGCCAGATTCATCGCAACTGTCATCAACCGACGATCCATCTACGCCCTTATATAATTCACCCCCCCCCCTTACTCCAAGGCTCTCCAACCTGCTCAAGACTCTATTCATTAATTTATGTAAATGCACGAATTGTACCTGCGCGTCTCAAGAAAAATTGTAACAAAGAGACTCTGTATACCTCTTGAAACAATAAAATACAATACAATACAATACAAATAAATTAAGTGAAATTTTTTAAATAAAATTTTTTCATAATGATTAATAAAAAATGATACTAAATTTAGGAGACATTAAAAAATTTTTTTAATTTCTATAATTAAATTGTAATAAAAAAAATTTGATATGTAAAAATTATAAAGTAAGATTTTTTTTTTTAAATTTTCAATTAAAAATTGTAAAACTAAATTAATTATTAAAATTAAAACTAAAAATATATTTTTAAAAAATTGAATTTTACAATTTTTCAAGATTTTACAAATAAAAATATATTTTTTATTTTTCCATAATAAATTTCATTAAAAAAAAAAATCTACCTCATGATGATATAATAAATTTAGCAGATATTTAATAATTTTTGGAATTTTTTTTAACAAATAAATTATGGCAAAAAAAAATATAAAAAAAATTGACATTTAGAAATTTAAAAAAATAAAAAATGCAATTTTTTAAAAATAATTTTTTAGAGCAAATTTTTTTGTTGAAAAAAAAAAATTAAAAAATTCTCTTACCATCAAAGTAAGACCGACGCGCCACCTATATTCAGTACTAAAAAAATCTATCCACAAACAACAACATCACTAACCTTTAAAAAGTGTCAAGTGTCTTAAAATTAATTAAAAAAAAATAAATAAATAAACTGGCGATGCCATTCACAGCAGACGCAGCAGCGCACCAGATCCAGGAGCGTTTGAAGAGTATCTACCAGCTGGTGAAGGACATCGACACTGAGCGAACCAGGTCAGAGGTAAATTTAAACAACATAACAAAAGCCCACGAAAAAGTGACTCCGGACGACAAAATAACTCCTTACTACCAACAAAAATTAAAAACTTTGTACAACTCTGCGATACAAGATGCGCAACAAGAGGAAGAGCTTTTGCGGTCAGCGTTATCAAAAATCAACGAGATCCGAGCGATTAGGAACGAGCGGCGAATACAGGCGAGGAATGCGGGGAATAAAGAGACAATTCGTCGCGGGGCGCTGATGAAGATGCTGCAGAGCACCGCTGCAACCTTGCCGCTGTACGTCGGCAAGACACCTGGAGCAAAGGCGCCTCCTCTTTGCGGCGCGGTGCCAGCAGAGTCGACCTACGTCGCTAAAATGGGCGACATGGTCGCGGCTCTGGTCAAGAGTTCCTCCGACGAAGAGGAGAACTGGATCCTAGCGGAGGTCGTTCACTTTAATTCCACCACCAACAAGTACGAGGTCGACGACATTGACGAGGAGCAGAAGGACCGTCATACTTTGTCCAGAAGAAGGGTTGTACCCCTGCCGCTGATGAGGGCCAACCCGGACACTGATCCTCACGCTTTGTTCCCCAAAGGGTCCATTGTCATGGCTCTCTATCCCCAGACCACGTGCTTTTATAAAGCTGTTGTTAATCAGCTGCCCAATTCTGCTACTGAGGAGTATGAAGTTCTCTTTGAAGATGCTTCTTATGCTGATGGATACTCTCCGCCGTTGAATGTCGCTCAGCGGTATGTTATCTCTATTAAGGAGGGAAAGAAGAGCAAGAGCTAGCTGATGGATTTTACCAAGTGCAAATTTATTTTGACGAGTACAGCTGATTCAAATTCTTGACCAGTGTGTACAGTGGCATTCCCATTACTGTGTAGAAGTCGCCGGATATTGATTCGATTAGACAGCCTCCTGTTCCTTGGATTCCGTAACCACCTGCTTTGTCCCTGGAAGGTTTTTTTGTAAAATGAAAATTTTTAGTTAATAAATGATGCGATTTTTTAATTTTTGACAGTGACTTTTTTTTATGGTGATTTAATTAGTATTAAAAACATTTATTTTTTAAATTCTATATGGAGAAATTTTGAGAAAATTATTAATAATGATTTTTAATTAAGATATCGATGAAAAAAATTGGAATTAATAATTTTTAATCAAGACACTTAGATTTTTTTGTAATTTTATAGTAATTAAATAATTGTAAAGAAAATTTAATTTAAAATTGATCAGTGAAAATTTAAATAAAACTAGCAATTGTCGTCATTTTGTGACTGCGGTGACATGTGAAATATGAATAAATAAAATTTATTAAATAATTACTTTTGTTAAATTGAACTGTAATTTCGTAAATATTAAAGTTTTTAGAGAAATAAGCTCATCTCGATGTTACACTCTTCGAGAGCTTTCATTTGAGTACCCACAAGCATTTTTGATATATTTTTCATATATACATATATATAATATATATAAATATATAAAATATATGAAAAATTGCTGTGGGTACTTGAATAAAAGGTCTTGATGAGTGTAATGTCGGAGTGAGCTTATATCTTTAAAAACGTCAATAGTTCACAAGATACAAGGTCATTTCTTAATTATTGACATTTTTTAAGATATAAACTCATTTCGATGTTACACTCATCGAGAACTTTCATTTGAGTACCCCCACATGCATTTTTGATATATATAAAATATATGAAAAATTGATGTGGGTACTCAAATAAAAGGTCTCGATGAGTGTAACATCAAGATGAGCTTATATCTTTAAAAATGTCAATATTTTACAAGATACAAGGTAATTTCTTAATTGTTGATATTTTTAAAAATATAAGCTCATTTCGATGTTACACTCATCGAGACTTTTCATTTAAGTACCCACATGGCATTTTCTATATATTTTATATATATGGTATTTATGGAATATATAAATATATAAAATATATGAAAAATTGATGTGGGTACTCAAATGAAAGGTCTTGATGAATGTAACATCGGGATGAGCTAATATCTTTAAAAATGTCAATAGTTCCTAAGATACAAGGTCATTTCTTAATTAAGTATCTAGATATGAAGCATTTTTGAATACAGTCTCAATACTGATCATCATAAATTGATGAGAATGATATGAAACCTTTAAAAGGCACAACTACAAGTCAAGACTTTTCCAACGATAGATTATCAAAAAAATTTTAAAAATTGACAGTAGTCAGCTGATTTAAGTGTCATTAATTATTTTATGTGAATTATTCAATTATTACCAATGAAATTATAATTCTAACTATAAATAAATTTTAATTAAAAAAAATTACTAGCTTAATAGCTTACATAGGTTCTCCAGTTTTAACGTAAGACTCAATCTGTTCCATAGAAATATCTCCAACTGTAACTTTAGCGCTCTGATAAAATTTTATTTCTTTTTCCATTGTCTTCATACAAACGCCTGTGTAAACAACGTGCTCCTTGTTTGCTAAACTATAAAATATTTATCAATAATTAATACATTAATACATAATATTTAAAAGAAATTTTTTTAATATACCAACCTGGATAAAATTCTTACAGCATCAGCAGCGTCTTTGGGCTTACCGAAAATTTCATCTCCAAGTGTCACTATTGTGTCAGCGCCAATAATTAATGACGGTTTTGCGCTGTCACTTTTTAAATTATTAAACACATCTTGGACTTTGTAATAAGCTAGATCTTGGACGTAGTCCCCGTGGTTGCTGTATTTATTTCTGTCAAGGTTCTCGTCGTACTTTGACGTTATACATTCAACATTTATTCCCTAAAATAATTTAAATAAATAATAATAAATTACTGCAAAAATAAAAATGACGGAGTAATTTAAAAAATTAAAAATGCAATTTTTTTGAAAAATAAAATAAAAAAATTATCAAGTAATTTCTATCTTTAATGTTATTTAATTTTTACATGTGGAATTTTTTATTAAATTTTTTTTATAATTTTATTGCAATAAAATTATAAAAAAAAAAAAAAAAAACAATTTTCTAAATTGTCAGTCATGAACATTTTTAATTTTTTTTAAACTTTTAATTAAATTATTTGCAATTACTTAAAAATTTTACATAATTACAAGGCTTGAAACTTAATCTTAAAAAAAAATTTTTTTTTTTTAATAGAATTGAAAATTTTCATAAAAATAAAAAAATATGACTTTTTAAATATTAATAAGTATTTATTTCAAAACAATAATTATTTAAAAAAAAATTGTTATTTTATTTTATCAATAATTTTTTTAAAAATTGTAATCTTGTTCATAACAATCTAAAAATTTAATCTTTTAAATGAAATAAAAAATTTCTTGATTTGAGAAATTTTTTTTAGTTGTAAAAAATATTTTTTAATTAAATTATTTGCAATTACTTAAAAATTTTACATAATTACAAGGCTTGAAACTTAATAATCCTAAAAAAAAATTTTTTTTTCTCAATAAAATTAAAAAATTTCATATAAATAATAAAATATTACTTTAAATTATTTTTAATTCAATCTAATATTTTTTTTTAATGGTCTTCATTTTTAAAAAAATTAAATTTAAAAAAAATTGTTATTTTAATTTTTTTTTAATTTCTACATGTCAATTTTTATTTCTACTTTTTTTTTGCCATAATTTATTTGTTAAAAAAGAATTATTAAATAGCTACTAAATTAATTTTCATTAAAAATTAATTAAATTTTATAAAAAAATAAAAACTTTACCAAATTTTTAATAATTTCACGTCGCCTTGGAGATCCACTAGCCAAAATGACTCTTAATGATGACAATGCATGTAAAGTTGGTTCCAACATTTTAAAAGCAACAACAATAAATTATTTACACTCTGTAAAAATAATTAACTTGTTAAAAAGTTTCAAATTTTACAAAACGTTTTGTTTATTTTTCACTTTTACTTTCTCTGTGTCTACTTTTAGTTTCATGAAAACACTCCTTTAAAAATCACATCTAAACACACCTTACTATACAATATATACTACACTATACCTGTCTACAATAAAAGTAAAGAATGAAGAGTAAATTATAAAAACCGCTCCATCTTTAACATAAATTTTTTTGATTAAAAGCAAACAAAGAACTATTAAACATTATCAGCTGGATAAAAAAATTAACCAATAATTAAATACTGTCATCAATAATTTACTGTGCTAAAAATCTGAAGTAACAATGGAAAATATTCTAAATGAGGTTGTGTCGTCAGAAGACTTGAAAGTACGTATTTAACTCATAAATTATTTATTAATTAATTACACTTAATTTTATATCATTATAGTAATAAATTAATTGCTGATCGTGATATAAATTATGTAATTAAATAACGTAGAAATTTTTTTATGACTCAATACTTGAGTATTGCGTCAGATGACTTAATTTTAATTATAATTATGATTAATAATTGATAATTTTGCTCCAGAAATTTGAAAAAATTTACAACGAACAGCTGACAACCTCACAAGTAACTCAAAAAGCACAATTTGAGTACGCATGGTGCCTGGTGAGAAGTAGATACCCTGCGGATGTTAGAAAAGGAATTGTTTTGTTGGAAGATTTGTTTAATAATCATAAAGATTGTGAAAAAAGAGATTGCCTTTATTATTTAGCTATTGGAAATGCTCGGATCAAGGTATTTTTTTTATTTTTATAATTATATTGAATGTCTGTTAAATTTTATAACACTAAATATGAAAATGAAGTTAACCGACATTTAAAAATTTTTTATTGAAAAAATTTCAATTAAACAATTAAAAAAAAAATTGTCACATGCAAAAAACTTGAAAAACTAGAAGTGCAATTTTTTATTAATATCTTTTTAGTTGTAATTTAATTAATAAAAAAAAAATCAAAAATTTTTACACGTCTTCTAACTATGAAAATTAAGTTAGCCGACATTTAAAAATTTTTAGAATTTTTTTTTTATTGAAAAAATGATTACAAAAAAATAAAAAAAAAATTTCACTTGTAAAAAACTTTAAAAACTGTAAGTGCAATTTTTTAAAAATATTTTTTTTTTCTAATTTAATTTAAAAAAAAAAATTAAAAATTTCGGCTAACTTTAGTATCATCTTCTAACATCAGTGTCATCACTAAATTTAGTTTTTGATTTTTTTTCATTAGTTAAATTAGAACAAAATATTTTTTTTTTTTTTAATTGTATTAATAGTTTTTTACAAAAAAAAATTTTTTTTTATTTAAAATTTAAAATTTCTAATTATTAAGTTTATTAATTAATTTTAGGAGTACACAAAAGCGCTTCATTATTTACGAGGATTTTTACAAGTAGAACCTAACAACAAACAAGTACAAGATTTAGAAGCTTGTATTAGAAAAAAAATGGAAAAAGGTAATTGCATTTTTTATTTTTTTAAATTTCTAAATGTCAATTTTTTTTCCCACAATTTATTTATTATAGAATTTTTTAAATTAGTATTTTTAATTTTAACGAAAGACAATAATAAAAAATTTATGACAACTTATCTGTATTTTGTGCTCTAAAAAAAATGTATTGATTTGATAAGATAAGTAGCTTGATAATATTTTTTTTTTTTATTTAAATTCCAATCTTGTTTTATTAAAATAAATTATTTAATTTAATTTAATGAATATTATTCATATTTTACAGAGGGTCTACTTGGAATGGCAGTAGCTGGTGGAGTAATTGTTGGACTAGCAAGTATTCTTGGTCTTGGTATCGCAATGGCAAAGAAATCTTAGCCAAATGATTCTAATTAACGACCAATATATGAAACCAAATGTTATATTTTTTTTTTTTTATTTATTCAAAAATTAATGTAATAAGAGTAGCTTAATAATTGAGTAATTTTTTCAACTGAAAAACCTCTAAGCGAGTGTCTATATAATTAAGTCTTCGCTTTTCTTACTTTATTTGTATAATTTTGTTACTTTATTATCGATATTTGTTAATTAATTTTTGATTATTAGTTGATTTATATCTCAAGGGAATATTGATACATTTTCTAATACTATAAATATTTTTTTGTAAATAGAGGTGATCCTCTATAATGTAACTCTACACAAAGATATACCTTAAATTTCTTAAATAAAAGTCTATAATTATTGAAGATGATTTTTTTTTAATTATTAATCCTTGTAATAGAAAATAATATTTTTTTAATTAAAAAAAAAAGGCATTCATGATATTTTTATATAAATGATAAATATCAGTAATTAAGAAATGATCTTGTATCTCGTGAACTATTGACATTTTTAAAGATATAAGCTCATCCCGATGTTACTCTCATTGAGACATTTCATTTGAGTACCCAAATCAATTTTTTATATATTTATATATATTATATATATGTAAATATGAAAAATATATCAAAAATGCATGTGGGTACTCAAATGAAAGCTCTTGATGAGTGTAACATC